AACCCTAAACCCTAAACCGAGGGAGAGGTCGCTCAGTCGCTGGCCATTTCCAACTCCTTGGCTTCCCCGGCGCGACGTGCGACCTGGTGCTGCTCAGCTTTGTAACCTAGCCCTGTACGGGTTTAGAGTTTACGGGTTTAGGGTTTAGGGGTTTAGGGGTTTAGGGGTTTATGGTTTAGGGTTTTTATACCGTGTGTTCAGGGCTTCTTTACACATGCTAGACCCACCCCTCCCAATGGACCTCCGTTTAGGGCATAAGGTTTAGGATTCAGTCAGATATAGTACTTCTTGTAGCGTGTGTTGTCTCACGGGTTTATAGGATTCCCTAAGGTTTCATGGGGCCTCTGTTATAGGATTAGAAAGCATCCATGCTGATGCTTTGGAGGGTTTAGGGTTGAGGGTTCAGGAGGGGCTCTCCAGTACTGGTACTTTGGGGCCACAGTCAAGACTGTGTATCGGTGCATGAAACAGTAAAGAACAGCTTCAGAGGTTCCATTATAGGGGGTGCCCAAAAAGGGTCTGCGGTGACTGCGATGAGTTCGAGGCCTGCTAGACAGTCGATTTGGCCTGTACCTATCTTTCGATTGATCTAGTTTACCGATGATATCTGTCTGATCTATCTGGTCTACCTTACCTGTCAGTTATCATGGTATCTCTAGGTGCCTATGTGGCTAACTGCCTGTCTCCCTCTCTCCCATAGCGGCAGGCCTACCTGCCGATCTTTCCATCTTTTTGTCTTTTCTACAATCCATTTACATAGCCTCCTCTCTCCCTCTCCGTGTTTTCCATCATACAGCAATCTTTGCAGTTTGGGGTTTTTGACTGCACACGCCTTGCGAGGAGTTCGGGTTGGGGGAAGCACCCTAAACCCTAAACTTTAAACCCTAAACCCCAAAGATTAAACCCTAAACCCTAAACTTCAAACCCCAAACCCTAAGCCCTAAAGATTAAACCCTGAACCGACGTGTCGTGGCTAGGTTGGGGGTTGCAAATAGCCTCGGTCGGCTCTGTGGGCCTCAAGGCTTCCTGCGGAGAGAGGAGCACAGCAAGTGACCAGAGCCAGAGGGAAAGAGAAAGAGAAAGGGTTCAGGGTTTAGGGAAGAGAGACAAAGAGAGATGTAGACAAAAAAACAAGCGAGAGGAATGAAACCCTAAACCGTAAACCCCAAAAGCGCGAAGACTTGTAGTACATCTGGTGCAGAAGGACTCTGACCCAGCCCTAAGGGTCCAAAGGACTCAATTACAAGGTACGTTGGCTGCGGATAGTAGTTTTCTAAGTCAATATTTGGGAGAGTATGTGGTGATTGTTAGGTAATGTAGGGGCCCTAAATTTGAATACGGCTTTGGGGTAGATTATACTATCATTATTTACAATAAGGAACCCCCACAATAGTTTTGGTAATTATTCAGGACGCCTCTCGTACTTGGGCCCTTAGGGCAGGTCCCTGGTCGAGTTCGCAATTTACGAGTTTGAAAGTGCCCAGCCACGCGGGATCGAAGAAAGAGCGCGGAGGCAAAAACAGCCGCCTCGGTGGCGACTGCTTTGAAACAGGCAGAAACATTTTGACTCAGGCCGGTCCCGTACTATATGAGCTCCTAGCATACCTTAAGGACGGATGGCCCGACATGGGGCCATTATTCATGCACGGGCCGACAACTTCGATTCATTTAGCGATTCGGCCTGCCATCACCGGTTTCCTGCAGTGGTTCTTCGATGCAACCTGATACAAACCACATAACCCTAAGGGTCCAATTAGTCTTTATGTATGGATACTGCTACCCAAAATGGAACCAAAGTCTTAGAAATAGGGAATACTTCGGTTGATGATATAAACTGCATTACCCATAAGTAGGAATATACCTTGATATTCATAGTTTAGGGTCTTTAAGGTACTGCAGGATCTATATCATCAACAGCTGGGCCCCTCTGGTGCCGCGCAGCATCTGACAAGCGAAGGATGTCATGGCTACCGTGAACTGGGAGCTGACTGCCTCTTAGGGTTAGGGTTTAGGGTTTAGGGTTTAGGATTTAGGGTTTAGGGTTTAGGAATTAGGGTTTAGGAAACCGGGAGTTGACTGCCTCTTAAAACCCAGAGAACCCAATACCCTTAATTAAGGAATTTGCCTTAAATTATAGGGGCCTTAATATTATGGTTTAAGGTATATTCCTTAATTAAGGGGTATTGGGGCTCAAAATAGCCCATAGTATGGTCTTTGGGCCCAAAAGCCTTTCAACAAAAATGAGTCCTCAGAGCCTTAGGGTTAGATCCATTCACCACCCTGCCGGGATGCCATAGCTCGGCCGTGGGTCGGCGAAGATTCGGCGAGGACTCCTGTCATCGGGAGTTTGGACGAGGGGTTTCGGGTAGGGTTTAGGGTTTAGGGTTGGGGTTTAGGGGTAGGGTTTAGGGTTTAGGGGGCGTTCGAAATCTAAGCCTCAAAATGGCACAGAAGTCTTGTAGTAACTGGTGTAGAATGGTCTGGCGACCACAAGCCTTCGAACTATGAGTCCTTACATGGAGCTTTAGGGCTCGGGTTGAAAACCGATCGAGGGCGTTTACTTTTGCTGCTCTGGTTTAGTTTAAAGGGCCAGGGATAGGGTTTTGAAGGGCTTGGAGGTTGAGTTTTGGGGTATTTAAGGTCTCCGGACACCCTTTAGGCTTTAGGGCAAAGTTTAGGACTTAGCGCAAAGCAGCGCTAAATCCCAAACGTCTGAATCCTAGATCCGAGCTCGGCATTAACTCTAAACCCGGGAAACCCAAACAGGAAAACCAATCTAGCATCACGAAAGCCCGAACAATGAAGACCAATGCAGGAACCCTATAAATTCTGACACGAAGGCTGACTCTAGAATCATGAACCCTCATCACACCCTAGCTGTATGGCCTGGGCCCCGCGTGGTGCTTGGACGAAGGGATGCCGCTGCCAGCGCGGCCGTGGGCCCTAAGTCTACCACATGGGCAGACTTAAACCCTATACTCAAAATCGCCCCGAAGCCGTAGATCCGGGTCTTTGGGCACGAAAGCCTTAAGAGCAGGGGGGTACAGGCTTTCTGGCGCTGTACGCGAGGGTTGTTATGCCAAACTTGTTTCAATCAATGTTGGTTGTCCAGTGACTTGTGCTGATGACGGACAGTCGTCTTTGCTTGTTTTGCAGCTGAGGGCAGTTAACGTGTGGGAGCTCGCATGAGGCCTTCGACGTATTGGTCTTTCTTGGTCCTACCATGTTACACGCAATTACCCCAAACCCTAAACCCTAAACCCTAAACCCCAAAACCCCTAAACCCTAAACCCCTATACCATGATAATAACGGACTGATTTGCTTCAGAGATGCTTGGAAGCCGCCAGGGAGCGTCCAAAGCCATGGCTGCGGATGCAAAGCTGCAGGTGCTGTGAAGGTTTAAAAAGACGCAGGCAATGTGGGGGGGGGGGGGTTCGGGTTTAGGGTTTAGGGTTTTCGGAATAAATAGTACGAATATCCCCTTCCCTGAAAAAGTTTGCGTGACACTTCTGGAGTACAGCCTGATAAACCCCTCAGCTCGCAGGATTGTGCACTCACTAAGCCTGGATCGTGTTCGCTTTGAAAGTGGCGAACTTTCGTCAGAATGTTGATTGCATACAGAAGAAAGTTTCAGTTAGACCAGAATCCAGATCAAAAGCTTGATCTCTGACTTCCTCAATATTCTTCTTACCGACGTGCAGAAACTGGAGCATCGAATCATGCCAAGCCTGCCCCGTGATGCTCCCAGCACCCTTGAGCTGTCGTCATGGGCGTGACAAGTGGTGGTACGTACACGCATGCTCCTTGGCCCAATGTCCATGGTATGCAAGCGAAACGGTCTGGGCGCGAGGTTAGCCCGGAATTGTAGGACTCTATACCGCACGGGGCATGAAGTCTGGCATCAAGCTTCATCATGGCTTCTGGGCGATTGGCCGGCTAAGTGGTCACAGAACCTCACCGTCTCATGGAAGCCGAAATTCTCAAAAAACGATGCCAGCTTGAACTGAAATCAAACACCTCTATCTGCTGGGATGTAGCCTCGAGAATGAAACCCTGCAGCACCCAATGAACCCTCTGAGAAACCCACATGTTTAGGTGTCCTGCGGACGATTTCCTTCTATACGTCCTTGAATCAGTAGGTTTCGGAGAACCATGAAGAATCCCAGGAGCGTACTCCTATGCTGTAGCCGCCTTGCAGGGATGGCGCCGTCCCCTGCAAGCTCCGCAGACCTCAATAAAGCTGTTTGAGGGGTCTCTAATTCAACGTTTAGGGTACCTTGGAAGGACCTTTGTTCGGTACAGGTCTACATACTGTGACCGGGTTGCTCGGACAAGCTACCGATCTGACAGATGGTGCTACACCACCAATGTGAGTGAAGCCATCATCATCATCATCATCGTCATCATCATCAACAGGGCTGACAGCCTGCAAGAGATTACTCAGCTCAGAATGTTCCTGATGCTTTCTATGCACACGCGGCCCGTGCGTCGTATTACTGCCGCTGTATGTCGTGGACTGCTGTGCCACCACTTGTCCCCAGGAACTTGTCTTGATAACAGCTCACAAAGCAAGTTGACTCCCACAACATGAATCCCACAAGCATGTGCTGCGCATGAAGTGAAGTGAACAAATGTCGCTGAGACAGAGACTACTCATAATTATCGGAAGCTGAGCGACGGCTAAATCCCAACTGAGAGCAGTGCCCCCCCCCCC